TTTTAGTTTATTTGTGTCGCAAATTAATTTGTTTATATTTTCTCGTGATGGAGGGAACGAAACAATTACGTGCAACTATCATTTCGCGAAAAAAAGCCGACGAAAATCTTCCGCGAGCTGAAAAGTTTTTCTGTAAGCCGTAACTTCGTCTATCACACAATACAGCAGTACAAAGAGACAAGTTCTCTGCAAGATCGCCAAAGGAGTGGTCGGTCAACGGTAAATAAAACCATTGAGTTTTGTACGTCTTTGACAAGTGACATATATATTTATATTTTTTAGATACATAAATCAATAACTAAAGAGTTACAATACAACATCCTCTTTTTATATAATAAAAAAAAAATATTTTTTCCTCTTAGATAAATTAAAATCAAAATAACAAACTATTAAATAGGATAACCAAATCTATCAGGCGGACGACTCACACGACCTGAAGAAGTGACTACATGTCCTTGTGAATTCCTTATAAGTGGACTACTTCGGGATTCAACTTGCGGAGAATCATTAACACTTTGAGATGTACTCGTATTTACATCTTCGGGAATATAAAAAGGAACAAATGATAAAGGTTTAATAAATATTCTGTTACGGATAAAGTGTACACCGTTACACAGGATTTTGTATGTTCTGTCATCTAATTTACATACTACTTCACCTCTTCTCCATTGCTTACCAACTTTAAAAATTACTCTTTCTCCTCCTTCAAGTGATCTTAAATCTTTTTTATTTCTATCAAAATAAACTTTTGTTTTAAGCTGTTTGCTTACTAAATTTGATCTTAAATTATGGAAAATTTTTGGTTTAAAACTCTCTGAAGACAATGGCAAAATACCTCTTAACTTCCTATTGTAAAAATTCTGCGCAGGCGAAGGAATTTCAAAGGAAATAGGAGTGTTTCTGAATTCTAACATAACTAGATATGGATCTTTCTGTTCAAGTAAAGCTTTCTTAAGTAAATTCTTTATAGTTTGAATTGTTCTTTCCGCCATACCATTAGATTGTGGATATTCAGGACTCGAAAATTTATGTACAATATTCCATTTTTCACAAAACGAAACAAATTTTTCACTGGAAAACTGTGGACCACCATCACTAACAAATATTTCCGGAATCCCATTACGACTAAAAATATGTTTTAAATTATTAATTATATTTTCACTAGTTGTACTATTTAGTAATGAAAGTTCTGGAAATTTAGAAAAGTAATCAACAATCAACAAATACATTTTTCCGTTTAATTCAAATAAATCACCTGCTATTTTTTGCCATGCATAATGTGGAACCTCGTGTGGTATCAGTGTCTCTTTCCTATTATTATGACTATAAAGTTTGCAAATGTCACAAGAAGAAACCAAATTATGAATATCGTTATATATACCTGGCCAATAAAGACAGTCTCGTGCCCTTAATAAAGTTTTTGTAACACCTAAATGTGGAAAGTGTAAACGTTCTAGCATTTCTCGCCTTAACCCTACAGGAATCACAATACTGCTTCCTTTAAATATAATATCAGATTTCAAAGTTAAATCATTTCTAACAGGCCAATATTTTCTCACTAATTCTGGAAGTGAATTTTTATGAGATGGCCAACCATCAGCTATGTATTTTTTAACAATAATTAACTCCTCATCTGTTGTGGAGAAATGCTTAATATTATTTAATTGTGACCCTGATGCATTAATACTGTTTACAATGAAATTAATCTGAGCTTCAATTTCTTCGCTATCTAAGTCAATTTCGAGGGAATCATTAATATCAAATGACCTTGACAAAGTGTCAGCTAAATATAATTCTTTACCGCGCTTATAAATTAAATCAAAGTTATATTTTTGCAATTTAAGTAACATTCGCTGTATACGTGCACTACATGTATTTATTGGTTTTTTAACTATAGCAATTAAAGGAGAATGGTCTGTTTCAATTGTTATTTTTCTACCAAATATAAATTGATTGAATTTTTCACAACCAAATAAAATAGCAAGAAGCTCTTTTTCAATTTGAGCGTACCTTTTTTGACATTCATTTAAAGCTTTAGAAGCATATGCCACAGGAAGGTTATTTTGTAGTAAAACCGCTCCAAGACCATCTTTTGACGCATCTACAGAAAGTACAACAGGAAGAGCCTCATTAAAAAATCGAAGAACTGGCTCTGAAACAAGCTTCTGTTTTAAGTTTTGGAAAGCTCTTTCATGAATATCTAACCAATCAAATTCATTATTTTTTTTCAGAAGATTTCTTAAAGGAGAACTCACATCAGCAAAATTAGAAATAAATTTGGAAACATAATTTACAACACCTAAAAACCTTTCTAACTCCTTCCTATCTTGAGGACTTTTCATTGCGACAATTGATCTGACTTTCTCGTCATCCAACTTTATCCCGTCTTTACTAATTATATGGCCTAAATATTTAACTTCAGACAAGTTAAATTTGCATTTATTTTTATTCAATTTAACATTTTCTTGTCTTAAACGGTCTAAAACTAACCTTAACCGTCTATCATGCTCTAATTGATCTTTTCCCCAAATTAAAATATCATCAATAAAAACCTCAGTCCCTTCTAAATTTTCTAATATCTCTCGCATTCTTTGTTGAAAAACTTCAGAAGCACTGCACAAACCAAATGGCATTCTCAAAAATTTATACCTACCAAACGGTGTATTAAAACAACACAAGTTAGTACTAGCTTCTGATAATTTAATATTCCAAAAACCATTTTTGACATCTAGCGTGCTAAAAACAGCTGCATCCGTTAACTTACTTGTAATTTCCTCAAATGTTGGCAAGCTAAAATGTTGCCTCATAATAACTTGATTAAGATCTTTAGGATCTATACATAATCTCAAATCTCCATTCGGTTTGTAAACAATTACTAAAGAATTCACCCACTCAGTTGGATGCGTTACACGTACAATAACATTCTGTTGTTCCATTTCGTTAAGTTTTTCTTTTAAACGAGATTGTACAGCTAAAGGTACTTTTCTACATGCATGTATGACAGGCACATAATTTTCTTTGATTTTAATGTCATACTCCCCTCTTATACAACCTAAACCTTCAAAAATATCTTTATATTCTCGTAAAAAATCTATTTTTTCATTTATTTTACACACAGGTTTAACAAGTTGCATATCAATAGCCGATTTTAATCCCAATATATTAGTATAGTGTCCAGAAACAACGTAAAAGTTAAGATTAAATATTTTGTCATTGTACTTACAAGAGAAAGAGCATCGACCTAGACATGGAATACATTCGCCCGTATATGTATTTAATTTAGTATTTACTGGTAATAGATTATTTTTATCTATACCTAGGTTAATCAGCGATCTATCTGATAAAACATTTGCCTGTGCTCCAGTGTCCACTTTAACCTGCAAAGGAAAATTATTAACTCCTAAGGTTATAGACCAGTCACGTGTATTATTAATCGAGTTTATAAAAACCATACCTAGAAAAAGAGTATCAATATCATTACATTCTGTTACTTCTCTTATGCTCCGACACTTTGCAGAAAAATGATTTAATTTTCCACATTTTAAACATTTTTTTCCGAATGCCGGACATTTATATCTTTCATGCGAGTAACCACATCTCTTGCAAATGAATTGATTGCGATCATTTTGCTGCGTTAATACGGAGTTACGTTTTATTTCTGCGTCTGTGCGCCTCATATTGTTCGAATTTCTTTTGTTAATTTTGTCAACTTGAGATGAAAAATCATGTGAAACTAAATTTAACGTAGCTGAAGATGACATAGCTTCAACTTGTTGTTTTGTCCGTTGCGAAGTACAACATATTTCAAGTGCTATAGCTAACGTTAAATTTTTCATACGAAGGAGACGGTCTTTGACAGCTATTTCGGAAATTCCACAAACAAGTCTGTCTTTAATTAAACTATCAGTTAGCGATCCAAACTCACAAGATGCGCTAAGGTCTCGTAATACCATCACATAATTTTCATAAGACTCTCCATCCTTTTGATTACGGGTGAAAAACAAAAACCGCTCATATGTCACATTTTTTTCAGGGCAGAAATATTGATCAAATTTCTGGAGAACTGTGGCATATCTTTTCTTATCTTCATCGTTTTCAAATACCAATGTGTTATAGAGTTTCAATGCACGATCACCTAAAGCACTTAATAGTAATGCTGTTTTTATTTCATCGTCATTTACACAATTCCCCGAAGCCAGTAAATATATTTCAAATTTTTGCTTGAAAAATACCCAATTATCTGCTAAATTACCTTCCCAAGATAATGGTAAAGGAAGTCCGATATTCAATGGTAATCGAGATGTTATTTTTTCTTTGGCTAGTTGCGAAGATTGAGCCATCTTTGAAAATTTTCAGGAAACTGTCACTATATAACTGTTTTTACTTATATTATTAACTCACAAATTCATTAAATATACTAAATTATCTCATTACCGACTGCGCCATGTTAAAATTATTTATTTAATATAAAAAATACGGTAAATAAAACCATTGAGTTTTGTACGTCTTTGACAAGTGACATATATATTTATATTTTTTAGATACATAAATCAATAACTAAAGAGTTAATCAGTGACATTTTAGAGCCCGTGGTGAAACCCCTGTCTTGATACGTTATTTAAAAGCACCCAAGCTCGGTTGAGGGAGAATGTGCAGGTCTTCATCGCGGCGGACGAGTAGCCCCTCCTCCAGCCCCTACCTCAACCCACTGGATTATTCTTTATGGACTGAATTAGAGCTCAGGGCCTTCCGAAAGTCTCACCCAATCTTGGAGTCATTGAAACGAACCCTTGCTTCTCGAAGCAAACCGAATTCCGCTAGAAAAGATTCGTGCCGCCATTGATGACTGGCCAATTCGTCTAAAAGCCTGTATTAAAAACAAGGACGGTTATTTTAAATAAAATATATATTTTCTTGTTGACTATTATCTATTTAATGGTTACTGTAAATTTTAGAAATATACCTTAATTATTAAAAAAGTTACGCAACTTTTATTTCGTCTCAAAACTTATGAACACACGAGTTATACTTTTACCTCTTCTTGTGGCGTCTCTGTGACTAGACGTCAAAATTGCGTCTGTTTTGCGAGTAGGTGTATGACTAGCAACTATTCCAGTTCATCTCCATATCCGAGCGCTTTCATGTTTGTGATGCTATGGAGGTTACTCGGTGAACCTAAGTGTCTTTCCCGGCAGTATTAATATTACTTACATTAATCAAATATTAATAGGTTAGCAAAGATATAGATCTGACGGATAAAACTTGTTTGATAACTGGCGCAAATAGTGGTATCGGCTTAGAGATGACACGGTGTCTGATTGCGCATAACTGTACTGTGTTAATGGCGTGCCGCAACCCTTATGAGGCTAATGGTGCTATCAAGAATTTTTGTGATAGTCAACAGCTCCTACACTTTTACAAGACCAATCTGGCCTCTCTTAATTCTGTTAAAAACACATCGGATGAATTATTAAAGCTGGACAGGTAAGTGTTTAATAGACATCTACCTATTGTCATGTTATGTATAGACTATGTTAAATAGACAATTACTTACTTACGAGTTAGTGCGGTGATCAGAGGCGCATTTGCAAGCTTGGCCGTCATAGGCCATTTAGCTCGCATAATTTTAACACTGCGTATGAATTTAACTTTCTTTAAATTTTTTATTGAAACGGACTCAAGCTGTTCAACATTTGTTTATTACCATTTTTATTTTTTATTAATTCCATAACTTCGACATGTTCTTTAATGACGACGAGTGAATAATAAAGTATGATGATAATGGTTCGACAGCACTCTTACAAACTTAGTTATTTATCCACCAAATGTATGTCAATGTTGGAAAATTAAGTAAAATATCCACATAACATCGCTAAGATGTCGTATGTTATAGTCGTGAACTCATGAGTAGAGTTAAGCCAGTCGAACCATAGCGAGCGCAAACCAGTGTGATCTGTCCGACGCAAACTAAAAAATCCATTTCAGCTAAATTTTAATAAGCTCTCTACAAGCTCCAACGGAACTAGATGCAATACGAGCAATAACTAACAATACATAATTTTTGTCTAAAATAATGTGTTCTTACAGAAAAATCGACATAGTTCTTTTAAATGCCGGTGTATTTGGTTTACCGTGGACGCTCACAGAGGACGGTTTAGAGACCACCTTCCAGGTCAACTATTTGAGCCAGTATTATTTGTTGTTGAATATTGAAAAGATGCTAGCACCAGACGCTCGTGTAGTATTTGTATCGTCCGAGTCGCACAGGTAATTAATAACAGCATTTTGTAATTTCTATTAGTTATGCCCATTTTTAGTTAGTTTTTCAGCAGTAACTACCTAGATTACGTTACATTCGGTGACCACAAAAAGTAAAATATAACTTTGTCAAGATACGTTTAAAATTGAAAAACAAAACATCATAACATGAGGTATTGTTGTTTTCAAAAATTTCTGTTTCAACCAATAGTTTATATTGGAAAAAAATCTGTAGCTAATATTGAAATTCTATTACAAGGACCGACATTTTCTCAAGTTAAATACCCAATTTAAATGTCTAATGAAAAAAACAGGCAGCAGAAATCAGCCCTTGTTGATTTTGCTGGTTCTCCTTAATACATTGAGGAGAACCGGTAAGAGCTTATGATCTCCAGCCTTAGATTAGAAAGCATAGTTTTCAACTTTCATAAGTGTCTTACAACTTACAATGAATAAATGGTATTGATTAAAAAAAATCTATATTATGGAACCTTCGTAATGGCAGGCTTGGGGCCTCAGAAATGGCGACAAGGATTCCTAACCTGGTCAATGTAAATGAAAATTAACTTTTCCGAATTGTCTTGGTTCTGGTTATTGTGGTAAAGTCAACTGCATGTCAGACTATACAAAACTGTCAAACCAAATTTGTTTTCAAACCTTAATTTATTGGGGACAGAGGTCTTAAATCCTTTGCAGAAATTTGACATATTGTGATAACCTGATGTACGGCTGCACGTGTACCTTTTCAGTTTTAGATATTCCATAACATAAAGAGATGAAGTTATCTTGAAATCGGAGAAAATTTACTTTATTATTTATTTCTTTAATGTAGAATGAATACAAATTGTTCAACTGGCTGTAAGGCTGGTTATAGTGTAACGCAGATCGTCCGCGCTATTATTTATGCAAAAGGAAAGAAGCGATAACGAAAAAGAAGAACACTTCATGTTCATCCACATTTGCTCAAATATTGCATTTGTGACATTGTTTGACCAGTTGACACTGTTTGAAACAGAGTTGATAGGGATGACGATATCGACATCGTTTTATCGTTTATTCTGGTCCAAACAGTGTCAGTGTTAATTGGAGTTGGGGTCCATTAACTACTTTCGCATGTCAACAAGAAATTTTGACGCGTTAATTAATGGCAAAGTTTAGTGATAAGTTACCACGATGCAATAGGACTTGTTTTTGGTATCTTTATTTTTGTAGACTTGTTGCAATGAACACAGAAGTGTATGAATGAATTCACACACTTCTCCTGTGTTCATCGCCATTCTAAATAAATGTACATGCTGACGGCGTCCGCTCGGCTCGACGCTGGAACGCTCGCTGAAGGCGGAGGCGTGCGTGCGATGATCAGCGCTGACCGCTCAGCGGTGCCGATGCGGCCCAACGCTGAGTGGTCGGCATCATTATACAATGCATCTATAGAGCCCATACATATTAGCCTGTCAGCGCCGAAGGTCAGCGTAATACTAAAACCAGCCAAAAATAATTGAACCTATTTTGAAGCTGTAATATTTTATTGACCACAAAAGCCGAATTTACATTACGATGTTAGTATCATGCGTGATGAAACAGTTTCACAAAACTAATTTCGGTCTCTTTTTCGTAAATAAATCATTCAAATGAAGGGTATCTCTGAGACAATGGCTCCGTCTGTATCTAAGCTTTTTTAAACGCAGATGGACGCGACACTAGTTTCACAATTTCGTCAAAAAATTGCGCGTGCCATTACATTAGTGTCATGCAAGCACATTGTGAAACTGGATGTTTACACTTGAAATTACCAGTGAACTACTTAAACTAATTTTAAATCACTACTTTCGTAATTTAAATTCGGCCTTAATTTACTGTTATGTATTACAGGAACATTAAGTGGTCTTTGGACAATGTACTGGCCCCGACAGTTGATTTATTATCTTTACCCAAAGATCAATATACTTCAATAAGAGCATACAACGTGTCAAAGTTGTGCAGTATTCTTGCTATGCACTATTTGGGTTATCGCTGGTTAAATACAAACAAACAGGTGTTCTGTGCACATCCCGGTTCGTTTGTGAAGACTAAGCTATGCCGCAATTGGTGGGTTTACGAATTCCTCTACACTGCAATGAAGCCTTTCTCAAAGTCAATTGTTAGTATATAAATTGTTTTATTTTGATTTATTATATTAGATTCATAGAACTCTAATCCCCAATTTTAACATAAAAAAAAATACAAGAACGTGACAAGAGAATTTAAATAATGAAGAAAGTTAGATAACAAAAATATGTTTGTATGTAGCATAAGAATTGAAAATTATACTTAATTATAGTTACAAACATATTTTTGGTTTTCATTTCAAACCCTTTTCATATCACAGTTTCATAAATTAATAAGACCATTACAGCTTTGGTATTCTGTAAAAATCAGCGTCGTTGCTTTCACTTGATCTTTTGGAAATTGAAACTATATATAATATGGCTTTGCTTTTGTTTTTGCAAAAGAGCACAATAAGAATTAGAGTCTTTTAATATTCGTATTCGGTCTGCGCCGGTGACATAACAAATTTTTTACAGGCTCAAGCCGCTAGTACGCCATTGTATTGTGCAATTTCATCGGAAGTAAAGGGCTTATCAGCAGTATATTTCAAAGATTGCCAAAGATATGAGGAGAGCGATCTCGCACAGGATTTTCAACTGGCATTCAGAGTGCAGGATCTCACGTATGAGCTTTTGCGTTACAGGGCTGCCTCCAAGGCAGAAATATTATCCGAATGTGAGGAGCAAAACAAAGGTCCAGTAGGCGAAGCCCTGGTCTCGAGTTAAAATTAACTAACTTACGATACTAACTTATCTTGATAATTAATTTCAACGCTATTAGCGTATATTTTGATCAAATTGTAAACTTACATTTTTCTAATAAATTGGGTGCCATGTGTATTTTAGACTTATTCGATCCGTTTTGAGGAAGGTTATTTTATTATTGAACCATTGAAGTAGACTATAAGATGTCCACCATATCAGACAGTCTTCCTAAAAATTGCCGTCTATGCTGAAGTTAAAGTAGCTCTTCTACTGTGCGGCTAACTGTCTATAATCTTCGTTTTGGTTGCAAAACAGTGTCAACTATTAATAACTTTATTATTGTATTTTTTTTTGCTTATAGTACTTTCAGTTTTCATTGTTGAAATTTGATCGAACATTTAACACTTACTTACTTGTTTTGATACTTCAATTTATGATAAATGATAAAAAATAATATTTGCTTTTAGGCAACTGGTTATTTTATTTACACCTATAATTTTGTTGCTTGTTGCTCAAGTTTAATTAATGTGATTATTTAAAAGATCGAATTTGTTTGGTATAAAATTTTATTGTAAACATAGAATAAATTAATAATGTGTAATATAAACATTGTTTTATTGTCTAACATAGTTATAGAAATGCTATAGGGCTTCTAAGTAAATACACAACAAGATTAATATTCTTACTTCTAATAATGTGACGGCAATATATATAATGTTTCATTTTACAAAATAAGTAACTAGGTATCCAATATTAAAATTTTATAATTCACTAATTTGTCATTCCATCTACATTAAAATAAGAAATATTCCAAACGCAAATAATAATACAATTAATACCTTATTAAGCAATATAAATATAATTCTGATTGCATGTCTATTACCAATAGTAGAAAGAGACAGATGAAGGGTATGTTCCGATATACACTGCGAGCACTGCGCAGTGGTCTTACTGCTGAAAAATCCGTTCCGTTATGGACTGCCAGTACACTGCTACAGTACCCTAGGGAAATTTATGACGTCATAAATTGCCGCCATATTTGTACTGTGAGCACTGGAGATTTCGAGGTAAGGTGCTCGCAGTGCTTTTGATCACGTGATCATCGAAACAGAATCAGAAAATGATAAGTTTCTAAACAAATAAAAAAAAAACTTACGTTTATTTATAAGATGGATTTAATTGATAAATATTTTTTTTATACAATTTTCCGATTTTCTTTTGAAAAGAGGGAATCTTTATATTTATATTCACCTTGCATTAACAAATTTGAAAATGGCGCCAAAAAATAGGATTAACAGTATACTGGACTGCGTTCCGTTTTAAAAAGTCACCAGTATAACTAGCTATAAAGGAACGGGCTTCCAGTATACTAAATTGACGTCATACTGTTCAGTGGTCGCAGTGTATATCGGAACATACCCCAAATCAATTTTCTTAACACTTTGCAAATTAATGACAGGTGACATTAGAATTCTGACTGGCGCGTACATGATGGTTCATATTTTTGGATACAAAGAATTCTTAAATTAGTTTCTTTCATCTATTTCGGCGCATTCCATTTTAATACGTGTAAGATAATCATAAATTGCGAAATTTTTTTGGAGGCAAACTCCAATTAAACTGGTTCTGCCCAGTGAGAGCAAAATACGGACATCGGTGTCTTTTCACCTGCTTGATACCTAGTTACTCTATACAATGTCTGAATTATATAAATTGCCGGTGTATAATCATCAAACAGCTAAAGTGAACCGATAAAGCTAAGATTATTTCTAAGATAACGAAGAAAACATTTACAACTGAATAGATGGTATTTGAACACAATCGGTAAATATGTAGAAGTAAATTTAGTTGCGCGGTATACCCGCTTCTCTAAAATTACCTGACAGAGTGCTGGTAGTGGAGTTTACGATATTTCAGGTAATAAAAAACTGACAAACATTTGCGTTTTTACTCTTCGTTCTACATAGTTGTGTTTCTTTAGAAATATTGTAGAAAATATTTTTTTCTAGATAAATAAAATTGCCAAAGTTCACGATTAAAATACTAACATTAAGTTATTGAGAATATGATCGGTTAGTCTATCTTTTGCGCATGAAGTATTTACCTCAGGGACAATACGTATCCAAGTATTTATACTAGGACAAAGAAAATTGCTTTATTATATCAATGTCATTGGCATTAAGTATCTGGAATAAAACGTTAAATAATGTTTTGAATGGAATAGTAGTAATACTTGGACCTGTATTGTCTCTGGTGGAAATAGTTCAGGGGCTATAAATGAACTAATCGAATATCATATTTTATTTTAAACCTAAAATACCTCCTAATCTATGTAGGTACATATTTGAACTTAAAATATTTCATCATTATTGTAACGAGTACTAAAACTTGGCACTTGGCAAATTATTACCACAAGTGAAATAATTTTCTGAATTATTTGGATATATAAATACTTGAAAAGATATAAGTTACATTGTCGCACAATAATGTTATAATACATAATCACGTAACAGAAAAAAATAATAGATATCGCCATCGTGAGGAGACTGTAACCCAAATAAATTACTCTGTAGGTACTTCAAATTGAAAGTTGTTAAACTGACAGAGTTTATTGGAACTTAAGTTACGATTCATTTCAGTAAAGTCAATGTGACGTCAGGTAGGTTATACGAAACTTAAATTATACATAAGGCTTTTTTCCAACGTTGGTAATTTTCATAGATTTTGTAAGAGTACTGTGTGTACCTGTGTAGAAGGCTATATTATAAAGCACGGCAAATCCTGTCTCCACTTAGTATGTTTCAAGTTTTGTAGACAATAACAGAAGACAAAACGTTAAAGTAATAAATGTTGTTTTATTTTGGTAGGGTAATGTTCTAAAGCTGGTACCAAAAGTTACCTCGCTTTATAATATGATTGATTGAGACGTGTAGCGGACGCACCCTCACAAAAAATAGAGGTGACCTTGTGAAAGTTCGGGATTGCATTGCTCGGAGTGATATATAAGCCGCTTAAAATGACCTAATGAATATAGTAAACCATTTTTTAGTATTTACACCACAACAAACCGGTTTAAACTAGGTTGAAAAATAATAAAAAGCTAATAAAATAAAGATAGCCATAATGCTATTCGATCTTCTATAGCAGTGGCATATCAAGAAGAAGAAGAAAGTAAACGAAATTTATATATAATATGGAGGATACAAAATACTTCTACTATTATTTTTTTCTGTTGTGTTTCAAAATTTTCAAAATTCATATAAAAATAAATAAATAAATGTGTGACACTAGTAATACATGTTTTTATCTATGATTTGCTAAATAGATTTCCTGACATTACAAAACGATTTTTGTTTCGGTATTTCATAAAAAATATACAGGGTTAGTTGAAAAACACCAACAAATACGTAAGACTTAGACAGTTTATAACATAAATTCTATATCACGCGTATTCTTATACCTTTTAATAAATTAGTAACATTTTACTTTTAACTAGTTACATACAGAAATCAATTAAAGATTAATTTACCTCCACACATCGCGCGAGTATAGCGTCGTCCTATCGTTCATATATAATACATAGATCTATAAATCGACATATACAAAATAACTTTTGCTCCATGTATTGAATCATAGTTAATTCGTAGATTTAACATTCTCCAGTCCTATGCAGTTGATGGTGTTCTACAAATAACACATTTGAAAAAATGCTGAAGATTGAAATTTGCGCTTCAGACATCATACTGTACACAAACACAAAATTTTATTTAACAAATCATTAACAAGTAACAATTTATATGCTCAAAATATTTCATAAGTCGATATACTGATTAGAAGAAACTACTTACAGTTAAAAAAATGTATATAACAGTCTTGGACCATTCATAATAACTGAATAGAATAGATCTAGTAGAGTAGTATCCGTTTCTCAACTTGCTTGCGGCATATAGGACACACTGTGATGCGGTCGCCACACATTTGGCACATTCCGTGCCCGCACAGGAATATCATGTTCTTCAAACGGTCCAAACAGATCGGGCACATAGTCTGAGAATGGAAATTTAAAACCATGAGAGCTATATATATATATATATATAGCTATAGAATCCAAGGGTAGCCACAGATTACGATATAAGATTATCGTGTATCTTTGGCTATCCTTGGCTTCTTAATATACATATGTATTGCTATTTTTCTGCGACTTCGCCTGCATAAATTAAGCCTCTATCTTCCGCGTATGATGTAACTTCCCGTTGGTATTTTAAATAATGCCAGTAATTACGCAGCATATTATTCTATACAAACAAACAATCAAAACTTCCCTCTTTATATTAGTACCTACTAGCTTTCCGTCAGCAGCTTCACCCGCATGGTCCCTAGGGAACTGTTCGATAATAAACAATTGTTACTATGGTAACGTTTTGATTCCCTATACAAACTTCCACACCCATATTAATTCCATTATTTCCTGTTCGGGTTAAAATATAGCCTATGTTCACCGCATATGATGTAGCTCACCGTAGGTGAAAGAATTTTTAAAATGGTTCCAATACTTTCGGAGCCTATTCGTTGCAAACAAACAAACAATCAAATCTTTCCTCTTCATGATATTAAGTGATATAGATTATATATAGTATATTTATATAGATATCGTACACGCTAATACGTTCATCTATGTAGCCATTAAATGTCTTCTGCGCGTAGCCACGCATATTGCATAGCGTATTAAAGTATGATAAGTTGATGAGAACAATAAGTTATTGTATGTATGAAAATGTAATAAATAGCGTAACGTTCGACCATAGTCGTCGGCTGACTCTAAGTATTATCTGAATTTACGCTTTCACGACAAATGCGCTTTCTTGATGCTACGATATAAGCACGGCGAGGTATCCATAGTCGTGCGGCTCTAAGAAATCAAACTTTAATAATATATAATATATGTATAAAACTAGTTTTAAACGGTTTCATCGCGTTTGTATTTTCTTTTATTGACGTTTCGGACCCTTTATAGGTTCCGTGTTCTCATAAGACTACGGTGCTGATTGCCTTTTTAATGAAGAGTATAATTAGCTACCATTAAAACAATACTATTGGATACATTCACCATATAACATTTTTATATTTTTTGGAAACGTTTAGATTTATTATATTAAATTATAAATTAGTGAATGTGACCATATAGTATTGTATTGTTTTGTAGGTAGCTGCTATACTCTTAATTAAAAAGACTATCAACACCTTAATCTTATGTGAACACGTTACCTGTAAAGGGTGCGAAACGACAATACAAGAAAATACTAACGAGATAAAACCGTTTAAAACTTATTTTATTTATGGATAGTGCGCGTGAAAATATATGAAATTAAATATGTTATTAAAAGTTTTAATATTATACCTGTTCTTTGATATCCTGGAGTTGTTGTTGTAGTTTCTGCACGTCTGCGGGTGGTGCATTAGGCGGGGCAGCAGTTAGACTATGTGCGGGGGTGGAAGCGGGCGCGGGAGCGGGAGCGGTGGCAGGAGCGGGCGCAGGAGCGGGCGCGGGAGCGGGGACCGTGATCTGTAAAGGCGCGGGGGCGGGGCTTGGAGCGGATACAGGGGCGGGGGCGGGTACGGGCACGATCCGAGATCCACTACCCATGTGGTGAGTAATGGCAGTCGCTGCTGGCTGCCCCTTGGTCACATGGACTTGAGTAAGGCTACTACTGGTCTCTTTTTCAGCTGAAAATAAACATAAAAACGAAGAATGAGATGGAATTTTCATTTTTAGTTTAATGCATCAAAATGCCGTTAATAATAGAATACCCTGCCTGTTAGGGCCGCTACCAATCAAGTCTGTTACAGCATCGATGACGATTTATTTGACAGCTACTTTGGGGATAAGAATATTAAATTTTAACATACTGAAGTAACAGTTCAATCAAAAAGGTATTTTTGATGATTTGAGATTTTTAACTTTTTTTATTATGAAAGTAGTTATTTCAATCGATTTGTTCTTGAATTGTGAATCTATTTCTATTCGCCAGAGTAAATAATAGGCTATGTCCAATGTCAATCGGTCCAATAGTTTTCTAAGACTTTAATTATGTTGAATATTTTTATTTATATATTACATTAAATAGGTATTTTTGATGTTACTTTATATATTAAAAATATCTAAAAAGCATGAAATAAAAGATAGAACCGGTTTTTAAACTTTATAAAGTGGTAAATAATATTATCTGAAAATCGAATTATACAAGAAAATAAACCTATAAAGGACCTCCGCCCACCTTCAATAGCACATTCTTGAATACGTAGCTTTTGAGATAAGCATTATTTATCAGTTCAAAATAACCTTCGAAAGCCTGACTGCTGTGTATACCTATTACAGCTGCATGGATATATTTTTGAGTATGTCATTATGTGGAGGTTAGCCAAGAAAGGATTTTTGATTCATACGGTGGAAGCTGTGGGCTTAAAGCTGGGCAGTAAAATAACTAATAGAAAGAAAGAAAGTTAGAAAGAAAAGAGGAAAGAACTTTGACTAAAAAACTTTAAAAAGTTATAAAAAGAAAAATAAACATAAAACAAACATTATATAAATAAATAATTAACAGTGACAGCTGGATCAATCAGGACCCTGTCTCAGCATAATTTGTTACGACATAGGACGCAACAACGCTGATATTCTGACAGGGCCTGTTGGTGTGTGATGTGCAACTAAATGAATATAGAAAGGTATATAAAACCATAATTATATTAAAATTAATAGAACTGATATACAGATAATAAATAAATTAAACAAATAGGGATAAATAAATAAACAAACACAGTATCATTTATTATTATTTTGGTAATAGGCTGTATGATAATGTGCAAAGAAAGACAATTTACTCATTATATTTATATACATTTATGTGTATACTGACCATGTTGTTGTATGGAGTGCGGCGGTTGCAGCGGCACACGGCACTCTACACACTTGCGCATGAGCGGCGCGCACGATGCGCACGCGCACACGTCTCCGCACGGACGAAACACAACCGTCGCCGCCGCCTCCGAACATACCACGCATTCACCTACGCGCATGCGTGATGTCACACACGCACGGCACACCAGGCATTTCTTCACCTACATATCGCCATTATATTTCAGTATTATTTAAGTGATATAGTTAGTTGCACAAACGTCCATTATTTACGTGAAAAAAATGCATATGTATGTATAGTTGTATACACGGTATATACATACAAAAATAAATATATTTTTTTTAATTTTGTCTGTCTGTTTGTTAAAGGAGAATTCGCAGCAAGAACTGGACTTAAATCCGGAAATAGCGTTTAAAAACTGTTTTGATTATTCGTTGGCGTAAGTGTGTCGTTTCTGAAGGAGCATACTTTAAAAATGATAAAATAAATTTGGACGAATAACAAACAGTTTGTGTATTATTGATCTTTTCCCTGTACTTTATTGATAGAGTAGTATATTATCAACTCACCCTGGCAGCGCACCCGTTGCAGCAACAGATATGACCGCACGGGCGAAACAGCGTGTCCCGTTTAGCGTCGGAACATACTAAACACTCTAGCGTTGTGGGATCGATGTGTTTTGATGATGAAACAACTTCTGCCGCCGGTGGCAGTGACTGAGGCGGTGGTGTAACGGGCAATGCGGCACTTGCGGCACTCGAGGTACTTGGGGCACTGATAGCACTTGCGGCATTAGTGGCACTCGTACTGGAAGTCGACGCTACAGCCTGATCGCTCTCCGGTGAGTGATCGTTAGCTACCTCGTTCTCCTTGCGACACGACGTCAAAGTCTTGCGCAGATTTGGATCAGGACACAGGTCGAGCGGCGTTTGTCCTGTATTAGCAGATTTTTTATTCAGTAAAAGAAGAGAAAAAGTGACATACATAAACATTGACTAGGTGCCTGTTTCTGTAGGTTGTATCAATGTTAACCTCACTGTAACTTTGGCTGTCGCTCTAACACACATATAAATTACAATTTTAAGAATGTAGAAAGGAGACAAAAATGAGCCGGAGCCGGTCGTTTCTGATCAATTGGAAACCAGGCATGGAGCATATACGTAGTCTGACAAATTTCACAGGAGACATGATAATTAGTTAGATTTTGAGTGACTACTGAAACTTTTCAATTGTTAAATTTGTTATAAACAGTATCATGTCTTAATAAAAAATTCTAACTGAAAATTATTATATATTTGATGATGACCAAACCACATTTTAAATTTACCAAATGAATTCGCTAATCCAGTACAAAAATGTCAGTTCTATAAATTGTTTTCATATCGATCCTGGTATACCTTTTTTATTTTTCACCGTGAGATCTGCGCCATGCGCTGCAAGGAAGCAAGCGATGGAAGCGGATGATTTTTTGTCGTGAGCGCACGGTAGGCCGGTGAGCAACGCGGTGTCGCGCGCGTCCTGCAGTCGCCGCAGCTGCTGCAGCGTGTGGTGACGGAGCGCCTCGTGCAGCGGCGTGTCGCCATCCTGGAAACATATACACACATATAGGGAACATGTCAATAGGCTAGTTGACAACTTTTTTTATTTTATAAATAAATAGTCCATTAATATCTGAGAAATAAAGTAGAAGTAACAGCATGTCTGCGATTAATAGTTTCGGTTTCTAGTACAGTTTTTGAGCTATACCGCGGACGGACGGACGGACGGACAGACAGACATGGCGAAACTATGAAGGTTCTTTGTTCACTATGGCACCATAAAAAAATCTCGCTGAGAAAAAAAATAAACTTAAGGGAAGCTTATCATATGCTTATCTTATGATAGGGGAACTTATCAACATAAGGGGCCATAAATGACGTCACACAAAATTCATGATTCCCCCCCCCCTCCTGTACCTGTTTGTCTATACAAATTCTACTAAATATTGTTCTAATGTAACAGTTCGTAGCCCCCCCCCCCCCTCCTAACGTGTGACGTAATTTATGGATGGCCCCCTAACAGGATTTTAGTTAACCAATAATCTGGAATTGCAAAACAATGTTAAAAAGGTTGCCTGGAAGAAATTTGATTGCATTTTAATTTGATTGTATTCGATTGTTTTTGTCCTGTATTGGTGTACAATAAAGCATACATCATTCATTCGTTCATTCAATGTTATAACTGTAGTAAAGTAAGATCACTTGTGTCAATTTTGGCGTATTAAAATATATTATGTCAATAGTATGTGTATTATTACTCAGTAGTATGTTTAAAAGTTGTTATTTTTAGTTCATTATTATATTCATTACAAATAAAAATACTACCCCAAAGACACAACTTTTCAACTACACTAGTATAGAAGTACCGAAAGACAATTAACAGAAAGTGTGGCTTTCAAAATTCTTTTTTAATACGGATTACCACATAATTTAGTATCGGCAGTTGTTTTAACAAACAGTTTGTGTTTATGAAACATGTTTTTCGTATTAGAAACATGCCTTCAACAATGAATGCAACTAGAAGGCATATTCTGTTTCACCGAAAACGAAAATTTTCGTCTATTTTAGAAATCCTAATGTGTACATTTCTAAATAAACGCATTTTCCATAATTTAAGGAGATAGGATCTGTGAGCTAACTGACTAACTTCAAAATATATCGCAATACTTTCAAGGTTATAGTGATTGCGAATTTTGTAAAGGTTAAAGTTCGAAAATATCTTTAGTCGACAAATTATGTTATGAAAAACTGAGTAGAAAAATAAAAAAGAACAAAATGAAAATATGAGCCAAAAGAAATAAGCCACGTGGTAGAGCCCGGTTGCGGTTCAGATTTAAATCTCCTAGTCTGCGACTGTTCTATTTGTATTTATAGAAAGACGCGTCAACGATGCACTATTAAAACAACGATCTCGAGTTAATATCCTTTTCGCAGTGTGTGTTTAAGTACTTTGAAAGAGATTTAATTTTATAGCATGAGCTTAATAAGATGCTTTCCGCATACAATGTTATAAGTAGGTACATTTGGACATTTTAAATAGAACGCACATTTCTATATGGGAACGTACATTCGTAAATATTATTATACGTTTAAAAATCGGATTACATTTTATTGAATGTTTATGAAATAAAATGATTTAATCTACATGAACGTACACCGAAACCGCCAGCGAACTAATTACAAATCATAGAAATATTAAAAAAAAACAAAACTCGTCAGTTTATATAAAATTGTCGAATTTCTTCTCGCACTCGAGATATTTTAGTGCATCGAGAGAAGATTTCGAAATCAATTACGGAAATTTGACTTATTGAGAAACCTGACATTCAGATGAGTGTACCTATATAAAGTAAAATAGGTAGTAAGAGAGCGCATTTTGTGTTTAAATGTTCAGAAAATAGAAATTTAATGAAATGTGTTCTAAATTATTTAGAACACAGACGGCGCATTGTGTCCAAAGAGCTGCTGATGGGTGGCGCCTCGGTGTTGGAATTTTAGGGTTTCACCACGTTTTACCCAAATGCGACCTACTACTAAGACTCCGCTGTTCGTCCGTCCGTATGTCTGTCTTTCCGTCTATCACCAGCTTGCATCTCATGAACCGTGATAGACAGTTGAAATTTTTAAGATGATGAATATCTGGTGCCGCTATAATAACAAATTCTAAAAACCGGATAGATATATTTTTCCGTTTTTTTTTATAATGTACTGATGCGGACTCTTAGCCGTTGCGTACTGACATGTTACCCATATAATTTTAGAGTCCGTTCGACATTGTATTTTGCAATGTTAAACAAGACCGAAATCGTGGCCTTTGTCTATTTCCTACATGTGAAAAATCAAATAATTCCTCCTATTCATTCATTTAAATCCTTATGTCTTTAAAAATTACTTCATTATAAAACTGATATGTAATTACCTACATATACTGTGACACCCGTCAGCTTTTGTTGACCTTTATTTCTATTAATAAATAAGTTAGACATTGTTTATTAACTATTTTGCAGGTCTGTATATAAGCGCGTGCTGTGGCTTGATTGAATAATAGGTTAATGAATAGAATATAACCCAAAAGAGAACTTCGCAAGTTCATAATATTTCGTTCGAAATTGTGGTTGCGGTAAAATTTGTAAAGAGCCAAGTTAATTTTTGATCTTTGTAAAGCATCTGTAGGTACTTAATTTAAAGCGAAAAGTTTTGAGTTATTTAAAGCATACTGAATATATTCAAGCTTTTTAGTAAAATTTGAGTAACTTAGGAAAAATATCTATGATTCGGAGTTAGTCGATTGACATGCCCTAAATACTTCAGCAATCTTTCTTTAATTTCTTTTGTAGTTTTCTATTTTCCTGCTATTTAAGCAGCAAGTGCGTACGTCTGCCCATAATAACTCCACAGTTGTTTTTAAGATGGCGCAGCGGCTTGCGCTCTCGGCCTGCGATATGGCTGTTAAGCAACTTACGCAATGGCCAGTTATAGGATGGGTGACCAAAAGTTTATTATCTAGTACTTTGTGTGTGGGGATTAACAAGCCTGTGATGATGATGACACCTTAAACTCAGCGAGTAGAACAGCCTATCAGCACACATATGCTGTGTATATGTTTGCTGATAGGCTGTTGTACAATACAAGCAAGTAGTCCTGAATCATTATCATCATCATCTACGGCGGTACACTACTTTAACTTAATGATAAGCTGTGCTGTTAGAAGGTGATGTCAGAAGCCATAAAAACTGGTGAGCATGTGTGAAAATTGTAACGAAAGTGGAGGAGGCGAAAGATGTGTCCGCCTAACCAACACGACAGGGCGTGAAGATAATAGAGATCTACCTTATCGCAAATGTTTAGATCAGCCCCGTGCGCTACCAGTAAGCGCACAATCTGTGTATGTTGCCGCTCCACGGCGAGATGCAGGGCGGTCTGTAGGTTGGCGTTCTGCAGGTCGGGGCGTGCACCGCTGCGCACTAGAAGCTCTGCCACCTCCGCGTGGTTGTTGAGGGCGGCGAGGTGCAACGCTGTGTAACCGTCGTCTTTCGCATCATCCACAATCCAAGGCCGCGGTAGTTTGCCCAACATTATTTTCATGGAACTGTAATGGATATAAAAATAACATATTTTAGCAGCAAACGTGTGAGGTATAAATATAATATTTTAGAATTACGAACGTTCAAAAAGCGAGGTTCGGTTTTATACATGAGTTGTAACTTCATGTTTTTTTTATAACAGGAACCTAATCTTAACAATTCGGTTCTGTCGGTTTTTTATAAACCGACATTGGTTCTAAAATGACGTACAATATGCGAGACATATGTATAATAAGAGATTACAAAAATTTTGTTACAAAACCGATAAGAAAACAGAATACGTCATTGTTGTTGCCGACAGCCTTACCATGCTTTTGAAATATTATTACTGGCCTCTTTAAGAAGGCTTTTATACTTGTTTTTAATTTATATTTTTTTTATTTTTTGACTTTGTCAATGTATCTTGCTTTTTGTACGTTGATCAATAAATGTCTCTCTGTGCTAAAAATTATTATTATTTAATTATATACAGTCCTCTGTTCTTGCTGTCGATTACATTGTAATTTTCGATAGTTTATTTGATTACGTCATTAACTGATTGTATTGAGTTTTGGAGCGAGAATATATTCGTCGCTATAAGATACTTATTCTGTTATAGAAGTTAAGAGACTAAAAAATATTTTTAATGAAAAAAAAAAGAGTGCCAGGGACAAGATTTGCTTAAAAAAATCTTGTCCCTGGCACTCTGAGATGGGACTAGAACAAGTGACCTTTCGCAATCCGGGCGAATGTTTTACCACTGAGCAACCCAGGACCGAACAGGACTGACGAATCTTTCAAGCATTCGTTTGTTACTTTTTCGCTCAAATAATCGAAAAAAATATTTTTACTAATATTTAAAACTTTTGGTAAAGATGAAAATTTCTTCTAATTATTATATTTGATAAATTTTT